TAACAAATCTTTTAATTTTAGAAGATTAACACCACCTGATTTTAACAAAACACTGTAAAGTTACACTAACTTTGAAGCCCAAAAGTAGACATAGACAAAAGTCACGTAAGAAAAATGCTTAGAGATAGACAAATAAATACATATCCAATATAAGTGCTGAAGTAATTCAAGAGAAATAATAATCTTTTAAAATAAAAATACTTAAAAAATAAAAATAAAATAAAATAAAATAAAAATATTAGAAAAATGGACATTCATCTGCAATAGAATGGTACATACCTTCTCTTATACATAACAAAGTGACATGTCCCATATACTGAAATATATGTTCCAGAGATTAAAAAATATTTCAAAGTGGGTGTGGTGGCGCATGCCTGTAATCCCAGCACTTAGAAGGCTGAGGCAGGAGGATCGCTATGAGTTCGAGCCCAGGCTGGGCTACATAGTGAGTTTCAGGTCAGTCTCAACTACCTAGTGAGACCCTGTCTTAAAAAAAAAAATTTTTTTTTTCAAAAGACATTTTACTGATCTCAGGTTAGTAGTTTTCTTAACAGGACAAAAAAGGCATATTAAAAGGGAAGTTCAGTAAATTACATATCTGCAGATTAAAAACATTTTGTTTATAATTAGTATCATTAAGAAAATAAAAAACTAACTACCAACTGAATGATATTTTTGCCATAGACACATCCTTTAAAGAATTAAGACCTAAAATACATAAACCATCAAAATATAACAAGCAACAAAAATTTTAAACACCTAAATGAAAGGAAGAGATGGTTCTTCTAAAAAGATAAATTGGTTGTAAATGATGATTTAAATAATATTTGGCAAAATGAGCACGCTAAGTACAGTAAGGCAGAGCTATACATAAGCACAGCAATGACATAAATGGAAGAGACAAGCATTTCTGCATATGTGGGGCACACACTGCCTCTGGAACCCTCAGATACTGCTGTGAGAATGCAACGTAGTAGAGAAGCTACCATGGCACAGTCTGACAATTTGTTTTACAGTCAAATGTACCTGGTTTCCCAATAATCAATTCCCCAGCCCACGAAAATGAAAATTTACATTGACACAAATAATTTAAGCAAATGTCCACTACATAGTTATGGATAATGGCCCTGCCTAAAATAATTTTAGTATTCATCAATTAATAAATGCATTATCATATTTTGATATAAATAGGCAGTAGAACACTGTAAGGAAGAGAAAGGAATGAACCACGGATGTGGACCATCAGGTAATACTTTCAAAGGATTTATCCCATAAGAAAGAATCCAGTCACAAAAGACCACACTGTATTTGATTTCATTTGTATACTGTTAAGCACAAGTAACCAGCCTATTGTTATAGAAACCACATTAGTAGTTGCCAGAGACCAGATATTGGAGGGAGCATTGACTACAAATCTGTAAGGAAACTGCGGGAGTTAATAAAATTGCAGAAGCTCTTGATATATTTGTAATTCTTAGTGCAAATTTGTGGTGACAGTATTACAAAACATGTACTTAGTAGTTTTGACTCAGTAACATACAGCTTCCAACTCTTAATGCTCTTTGTTCCCATAGCAGTTCATTTTTAAGGCGCATCATTGTTGAAAGAGCTTTTCTTCAGTATTAACAGATATTTGTCTTCCACCACGGTTAAGTTGGAAGCACTGGGTCATTTTAAGTTATTATTTGTTCAATAAATATGCACGCATATATTAGAAAATTGTATGGCATGGCAGAGTGGTAGGTGTAATGAAGACAGGGGACAGGATGAGGAGGTGTGAGATCGTGAAGGTGGAAGAAAGGGAACAGTGTCGTTTTACAGTGGATATTTGGGGTCGGCCTCCAGAAGCGGTGACTGGCTTTGTGTGTAGGGGGAAAACCCTTACAGGCAGAAGAAGCAGCCACTGTACGCATACAATGTGGAATGAAGGAATCGAGTTGGAAAACTATTGCAGTAATTTATATGTGAGATTGAGGTGATTCTCAAGAGAGTATAATGGTGTTCATATTCTAAAACAGAATGGAATGTAGACCAAAATAATTTGTTTATATGTATGTGGTCCTTCATTGTGATATATCAACCTGACTAGAGTAAGAACCACACAGCCAATCTGTTAGTTCTCAGTGTGTCTGTGGATGATTGACACGCTGGCCGGCAAACTGGGGCGAGGATCCACCCAGATAGGAGGAGCATCAACCAATAGGCTTGCAGCTTGGACAGACTAAAAAGGGAACGAAGAAAAAAATGTTTCCCTTTTGTTGGAAAAGCTCCAGTCTTTTCCATTGCCTTTGGATGTTGGTCCCGTTTCCTCAGCCTTCTAGCGAAGACTCCTCAGTCTTCCAGTGGATGATGATAGAGAGCTTAGAGTCTTCTACCTTCCACCTTTGACTGTCACTCGATCCTCGGCTCTCCAGGGAGAACATAGCCATTTTAGGTTCTTCTCTCTGGTCTTAGGTGACCACTGGAAATTTCCAATTTTGATCCTGCAACCCCACTAATAAAGCCTTTGTATAATCATGTATCTATATAGATATATATCTATACATCTACATATATTGTATTGAATTTGTTCTTCCGGAAAAGTGTGTTTTAAAGAGAGGCATCGAGAATGGCTCCAAGACTCATCTATTTCTTATAGTTAAGATTCAAATGGTAACTTTATGACAAGGTTAAGAGTTTAGAAAGTGGACAGTGTATGCACAATTATTAGTAGTCAGAACAATAAAATTAAGCAATTGAGAGCAAGAGTAAATTGTTTTAAAAGATACAAAGCTGTTTTTGTAAGGTGTTTTTCTAACTTCTGTGTTCCCATGTATGTTATTGCTATGACCGTTGTAGCACTCATATCTTAATTGAATTTAAATTTTGCCTATCTTCCATTACAGTTTGTGAATTCCTTTATGAGTGGGCAGTAATATTATCGCCTAATGTTGCAGCATAGCACATTGTTTATCATATAGAATACCAGTCAATTTGTTTAAGTTTAGTAAATGCTAGTTGAACACTTGCTGCGCCTCTTCACCTGTAGTGTTTTCTTTATATGAATTATCTTATTTTATTCTCACTAAAATCATACGATGAACCTCAATCATTGTACTGTCTTAAGAATATGGAATAGGAGCCTTAAAAGCGTTTAAAAGTCAATCTCAGTGTCACACAACTAATGAGTGAGAGGGAAGATTTGAATACAAGTCCCATCTCTACAACACATCATATGAACTGACTGGGCTCTATTCACAAACAGAACCTCGGATTCAGGTTTGGAGGACAGCTAGCAAATTGAATTGTTTTTCTAATAAAATAATATTTGCTAGCAGAGTTTGAAAGAGAATTCACTTTACCCTTTGGTTGCCTCCTTAGTTTCAGTATTTTTGTTTTGCAAAGCTCTTTCACAGATTGCATAAATTTGTCACTTAGAACAGTTTTAGTATAAATACAGAAATCTGATATATTCATTGGTCGTATATTTAATAATTACCTCTTGTGTACTCTGTGAATACTAATAAGGAATAAAATACACAGCCTGCAATCTTAAAGCACTTAGAATTGTTTGAAGAAGGCAGATAACAATTATATAGATAAATAGTGTTTTATCAACACAGATTTTCAATGCCATTCTCAATTAATCTGATCCTCAATGAGGTTGGACCTAGCAACTCTATCTAAAATGTCAACCCGTTTCACCCTGTTTTATATTCCCCTTTCTTGCGTTTTTACTCTAGTCAGTAATTTTTCTGATTATTTTGGGGAGTATGGGGATTTCATCTGGAGCTGATCAGGGAAAAGGAATGTTGTACTATAGGTAAGAACATATAGCAAGATTTAATTGGACCGTATTTGGAAAAGGTTGACTGGGAAAGAGAGGCTTCTGACAGGAATCTGCCTAGAGGCAACAGAGCTGAGGTCATGATTCCAAAGAGAAAGAGGGCACAGGAACTCCTGGAGTGAGAGGGATCTAACAAAGAAAGAGCTCTCAAGGCTAGGTGAAACTGTTATTCAGGGCCACTGGAAGGGAGCCCCTGGGCACAGGGCTCTGATGTACACTGAAGTATTGCCAGTCTAAGGGCAAGTCTTATCAATGGGGAAACACATGCTAAGTGAGGTTACTTGAGTGTGCAAAGCAGGCAGACTCTTAAGGAGCTAAGAGTCTGGGGTATTTGTAAAATAAATAGATGCAAGCAAATTTGAGTCTGATGCCAGTGGGTATTTACGCTAATGTCTCATTCTATCATGAAGATATTAAGAGCCTAGAGGCCAATATACAAAATCTATCTTGGCCTCCTTTATACAGTGATATATGAATATATTTTAATTCCTTATTTTTTGACGATTACTACCCTATTTCAGAATATAAGCCAGACAGCAGTAAGGATTTTTGTTTACATTGTTCACTATTCAATTTTCATATGTTAGAATTTTGCTAGGTTTGCAGGTGGGGTTTAATAAATATTATTCCATCGATGAATTACTTATTGCTGAGAATGTGAAACACTGGCAAGTAGTTTGTTGTATAATGAACAGAGGCAATTAAATAGGTACCCATTAAAAATGATAACTGAAATACAGCAAAAACACAAACAATATGAACCGAAGAAACCCAAAACACAAATAAAGAGTAAAATCAAAGACAGGTAACAGGCAGTAGAGAGATCATTTTCAAATGGGGAGAGGAATAAAACATAGAGAGAAGAAGGCAGGAGGGAAAGGAAAGAGGGCTGGAAAAAAAGAATTGAAACAAATGGAAATTAAGTTTTTGTAAATAGGAAAGAGACCAAGAGATGGAAGGGGCAGAAGCGGCAGAAGGACAAAGCAAAAAGGAATCAAGGTGCTCCGTGTATGCAGTCCAGTTATACACAATAAATGTAATCATTAGGGATGGTTGAACATGCACTATTTAAAAATAACTAACAAAGAAAAAAATAAAGAATTAAAATGATGAGCTATTTTAATTAAAATAGTGCTATTTTAATTAAAACGTATAAATATATACTTACAGTTCAGACTTGAATGTTGTCCCATGGCTTTGATCTGAGAGCTGTAACTGCAGTGCCGCGCTGTGTCTCAGTGGCATTAACCGAATTCAGATGTGAACTGGCTGTAATTTGGCCAAGAACTGAAAGATAAAGGTGAGGAACCAAGAGTGAAGATCATGTGATTTCTTTGTCTTCGTACTTTGACAACTGCTTTTGGGATAACAATATTTTCAGTCATTTTCTTTAAATTTTGAAGAGGTTTAGTTTTTCGTAAGAGGCAGGGGCCCCTCCTGTGACAGGGGAGCACCTGCCTTGCAGACTGAGGAGAGGCGGGTCTTCCCCGAGATAGAACCTGGGGTGGAGCGAGGGTGAGAGATGAAATGGGCCCAGTACCTGGGCAAAGAACTCTAGAAATATGCTTGTCTTCTGTCCATGTACCAGCCTAAATCTTAAATTGAACATTAACTGTATAGCATACCATGAGGCTTGGCAAAGATTTCTGCGGAGTGCAGAAAATCTACCGGGCATCTCAAAGCAAGAAAGCCAGAGCATGCACCCATTGGAACCTAGATTTGTCAAAGCAGGGTGCTCGTTAACACTGTGAAGTGTTTGGAAGAGCTCTCTTATTGGCATACAATATGATTACATTTGTGATCATGAATTTGAGCCTGTACATGATATATCTTAGTTCTTGGTTTCATTTTCCTCGTTCCCCATCCCTCTTTTCTACTCCTCCACCCTGCCCTATTTACAAAAGCTTCGTCTTCATTTCTTCCTCCTTTTCTTATATTTTTTCTCTCCCTTCTTCCTTTTCCCCCACCTCCCTACTTCCAGTTTTCGTTAGGATAAAGTGCTAAATCACAAAAGGTAAATAATCTCATTTGAGCATAGTAACAATTTAAAAATAAATATTTGAACTTAAACAAGCATAGCTACTGGGGGGTCCTTAATATTAACCACATTACAAATTCAGAGAAAATGTGTAGACATCTTGAAGAGTGCGTGTGTGCGTGTGTGCGTGTGTGTGTGTGTGTGTGTGTGTTGTAGGTCAGTCTCTTAGCACAGCCGTAAATTTCCTCAACTTAATTATATCATCTCAATATTATCAGATTTTGTTTCACGTGCTTCAGACTTATCAGCCACAGTGATGTGCTTAAAGTAAAAGTATTTGTCAGAGGTCGACAGTGTGCAGGCTTCCCCATCGCTGTCAGTAATACTAAATGTCTACAAACCACACAATTAAATGCTTTGAAATGTTACAAAGTGCTATGTGCGCACAAACATCGAGCGAACGTGTAACGGAGTCCCTGGAGGGGTGCGTTTGCATACAATTTACAAAGCCACTCTTGTCAATTAGCTCAAACATAAGCCAACTCAGTAGACAAATACGAGGCAAAACTAAGGAGAAATATGTTAGTTCATTTCCGTTCCCGTGAGTAAGAGGTACACGTGCTGTTCAGGGGACAGGAAAAACGTAAAAAGTACAAAACCACACCTAAACTTGACATTATCAGTATTTTGATACTTCAGAACTGTAATCATATCGGGCATGAGAGTGTCTTACTTGTTTTCTAAATTTTGAGCCTGCCTCACGGCCTTGGAAAGCAAATATAGTTTTGATTTTGAAATTGTTTAGCCACATTTCTAAGAAGAAATGTGTCCCTTTCAAACTTTGAAAATGAATCATAAAAATCATTTTACCAAAAGTTAGCATCTGAATGCTCAAATACACGGTTAACACTTATCTATTTTTTAATGAATTTGATTTTATATTCATATTCTGAAATCAGATTTCCTCTATAGGCAACATGAGCTTGTGTAAAATTTGGAAACTTTAGAAAACTTTAGCTTTAGAAAACCGGTAAATACGTCTTTATTTTATTATTTAGAAAAGGCAAAATTTATCACTTCAAAATGAATTCTGAATTCCTCCTCAAATAATTAAATGTAATTTACCTTCCTCACAGAAATAGGGCAGGGCTTGCAAATTCACATAAATACTGCGTACGGATTTTTGTTTTTTTGACAAGGTCTTGTTCTGTAGTACAGCCTATCCTTTTTAGTATATGTGCTGCTGAAGTGAGCACAGTTCAGGCTATCCTTGAACTCACTATATAGTGCAGGCTGGCCTGGAACTTCCAGTGATCCTCCTGCCTCAGCCTCCAGGAGTGCTGGGATTACAGAAGTGCTCCACCACACCCGGCTCACCCATGAATTTTGTTTTTGTGTATACATATAAACTACTAATTCAACATTGGCATTCACATCGCATTTGGAGTGCTGGTGCTTCCTAATAAATTTGTGTTTATATTGAAACAAATTATAAGATGAGCCCAAAGCCTCATTATTTTATCTTTACTCAACACAAAAACACAGTGACATTGTGTCTCCCAGGCAAGATGAGTGTGCTGTTATACATTGCTGTTGTCAGAACCAGAATTGTCCTCTTCCACCTCTCTGTATATGAGCTGTCTCCTTTTTTGTCAGCCCTAAATCTTTGTTCATGTCTACCTGGGTAAGGCCCAGCTTGGTGCTGCCAAGTCCCTCCCTCTATCTTGTCTGGGGAAATGAATTGAGCTAATGCTCAACGAAAATAAAATGAGAACCGAGAGAGCTTGCCAGCTCCTATGCTGCTGTAGTAGTGGCTCCTGGGACAGGCTTCGGTCTGTCTGTCCCATCAATGGAGTCATAGAACAATGCTGTCCTTGCACAGTGATAATTGATTAATGAATATACAAATTACTAAGTAATTCCAATGCACTTTATTTATTTAAAAATACTATAGATAGCTCGATCCCCAGTACTAAAAAAAACACTATATATACACATATATATTTAAATAATTTCCTGAACACATAGATGTTCAGGGAAAAGAATTCTTGAACGTACTTTTCCATCTTTTTGAAGTTACTTAAAAACAGGTTAGACAGATCGAGAAGTATATTTAAAATATGTAACAAAGACATTTTTATTGAAGAGATATAGATAAAATACAAAGCAATAAACAATTTTACATTTCCCTGTTTCTCTAACTGTATTCCCCTCCTTCCTCCAAAAGGTAGGTGGTTTTCAGAGTGTGTGATCATAATTTTCTTGACCCTCTCCATATTTTCACAGAAAAAATCCATTCTAAATGATATTTTTGAATTTACCCTGATTTTGAAATGCATTCAAATGGAATCTTGCATGTTGGAGACATATTATATTGAATTATAGAATTCATCTATTTTCATTATTTATATTTTTTATTATCTGTACATAATGTGTTTTATTTATTTGTTCCTGTGATAGATATTTTGGATTTGTTTGTTATTTAATAAAAGCAACAATGCTGCAAATATTGTTTTGCATGTTTCTTAACCCACGATTACATGCATTCTCAAGATAAGTTGATAGAGCATGTATATTTTTCCCTTTAGTTTGGAAGCTATAATATTATTCTCTAATCTCTAATCTAGTTTCTTTCAATTTACGTGTATATTACAGCATTTTGCTTAACATAGAAACCTAAATTCAATAAAATTGCATTTTCAGAAATACATTACTTTGAGACTTTGAGCCTTCACAAATTTCACAATTGTTCATGAACATAGTTTATAAATGTTTTCCTTTCCTGGACTTCCTGATGAAATTATGTTTACAATTTTATTGTAGAAATACATAATCATATACGTATTTTATGCTTAAAACATTTGACTGCATGGCATTCTTTACATTGGAAAATTTAATATTTGTTGACATTCACTATACATTAATACCTGGTGTAAATTCTTATTGCCACTAAGAAAGTTATTTTGAGTAGGCCATAACTAATGGAGAAAAACCTATTTTCTATTAGAAGGTGAGATAGAGTCCTGTGTTCTTCCCATTCTATGAGGTAGAGTTTGATATTTCTGAGAATCAAGTAGTTAAAATTAATCAAAAGCTAGAAAGCAGAAATCCTGTATCATCTTGCTCTACAGTGTATTTAGTAATTAGAGTGAAATTTTAACTTTTCTAAATTTAAAGATTTTGTTGTTTGCTTTTTACATCTAGTTCATCACTTGATAATTTATATTTTCCCATATTTTCTTATATTTTAACATATAATTTGATACTCTACATCTGATAATTTCAATAACTGCATTTACTTTTGCCCCCAAATAAGGTATGTATCTGATTTTTTTCCGTGGTCCTTAGTTTGTCTCTCATTTTAAATGATTTTAAATGGTGAACCCATGTGTCTAGGAACTGTGGAAACTTTTAAAAGTCTGACTTTGAAACAATTTTCCCTAGATAATTTCCACGTGCTTCTCCTGGGTGCTTCATTATTGCCAGGGGTCATAATAACTTTCATCCATTTTTGATGACACTTTTAAATTGAAAATTTACAGATCCTGAGAAGGGAGTAATCAAAATGTAAGGTGACTGCAGACTTGTGTTAGCGCTCGGAGACTGTGCGAACAGACTCACGATCTGTAATTCTCTTTGGGGGGCTTCACTATTTTTTTCTTACATCTTCAAAGAAGTTTGCTTTTAGGGTGTCAGACAGGGAGATGGCAATGACTGAGGATGAGGAAGGGGGCTGGGGACCCCCGGCTGCTGCTTCCTCTGAGCTGTCCCGCATGCTAGCACAACTGAGCCATGGGCAGACAGCATCTGAAGTAGCAAATATCAATCCTATTTTCTCACTCTCTGTTTAATATGGATTTGACTTTCGTGTTATCCCTGGTGTAAAACATTCTCTGGATATCGAGCTATGCCAACTATGTTTCACACATTCACCTTTGTATTATATTCAATATTAATGAGTGTACTGAATCTAGAGTAGTTTCTCTGAACATTTAAGCCTCCACGATCACACTGCCTGTTTTCTCACTAGGTAAATTTAAATTTCTGAGATGATGGGGCTGGTAAGCATTAATAACTGCTCAGTAAATCTTCCCAGACGGTTCTTCTGGAACAGTTCAAACACCTGATTCGCATTTGAACTGAATATGAGACCGGAGAGGACATCCAAAGCAAGTCAGAGTTTAAATATTCTAACAGATCAAGAAGTAGGGAGAGAAGTGGAAGCCCCAGAGAGGAAACGATTTCCATATTTAAGTAAATTTTCACATGTTTCTGAAGGACACAATTTTTAGGAATGAGGTGGAAGACT